TTAGATGGCACAGATCACAAATTTGCCTTGAGAAGTTATGGCCCCTAAGCTTGCTGAAGATATCATTGTTGGATGTGTTGCCGAAATGTTTTCCACACTAAATCCAATGGTTTTAATTCATGAACTGCATTTGTTGAGCCTTCTCTGGAGATCATAGTCATTTGCCAACATATGAATGAAGCTTTATTAGGCCTATAATTCTCTTATCTCCAGTCCTGGATGCTACTTTCAGGTTTTCCATTATAATTCAAATAGGAATTATAGCTCCAAGATCACTGCAGTTCATACAAATGCCATTCCTCAACCATGAAAAAAAATGGGCAAATCTGCAAATTCAGCTCAATAATTATTTCATTCGAACAGTTGAGCAGTACTAAGAGCTTCACACAAAAAGAAAAAAAATGATGCCGAAAAGAATGGCATTATTTTGTTCCTAAATAAATTTGATTAAGGCAAAGCTGCAGAAAACTCGAGCCTATTTAGTTTCCTTGGGGCTTCCTGGCGTCTGGGCATTGTGTGCTGTATCCATTTTCTCCGCTGCTGCAGTTGCTGCAGATGCTGCCTTGTCTAAACCCAATTTCTCTAACTCCTTAAAGAAACCATTCACATCATCAGCATTCATTTTGTATGGGCTGTGGGAAGGACCGGGGAATGAACCATTTGTTACTTCTTCCTTGTACTCCAAAAGAGCTTTATTGATGACATCTCCTATGCGAGCATACTGCTTACAGAACTTTGGAGTAACCTGCAGAAGGTAAAAACATCCCTTTTTGAGAACACTTCTCGTAAGGAAAAAAGAATTTGCCAGACAGAGTGGCAATTGTGTGCTTAACCTTTGCATGATGTGGGTGTTGCAGCATTCCGAGTAGATCATGGTATACTAGCACCTGCATCAACAGTGGGATTAAAATAAACTGCAAGTATTCATACGTGCAACAAAAATGCCAACCATTTCTTTCTTTGTGAAGTAAACAGAAGAAGATCAAAAGGTCTGGAACATGATCATACAACGTTATGACATAAAAACGTAGCCTGTCAGTCTCTTCAAAGCAAATATGATAACACCATATGGTGTGAATACAGAGCACTACAGTTAAAAGTCAACAAATGATCCAGATAAACTAAAAACAATGTTAATATTCTACCACAAAAGAGTAGTACGATAATTTGAATAAAAACTTAAAAAAAACTTGTAAAGAAGCTAGAAAGCTATGTGCAGGAAGCAACAGTGGTGAGCTTTTGTATCAAGCCGAAGTTTTCTCTACAATACTCAGGAGAAAGATTTTCTGTTGCTGGATGCCTGATATTGCATAAAATCTAACCTATATCCATGACAGTACCAGCGAAACACGTTGGCTGAAACAGCAAAAGTAGAACTCCCATTATGAGTAAGACTCTGTTTTCAAGGTCCAATTTCAGCTAAAGACTCGTATATAAGAAATACAATTGACATGCCATAGCATCAAACTAAGCTTTTCTCTATGATAGCATCAGCCAAATAGCTTGGTTGTACTTATATGTCACCAACCCTAAGTGGATATGCTGATATCAGTAACATGTTCTCTTCTGTTTCTCTTAATATAAAGAAGAGACCACAATTATGCAATAAAACTAGTTACTGGAGTGCAACCCCTAAATTCTGCTTATCTAACGAACTTTATAGATAATGGCAACCTACCATTTGCTCTAAGCTTCATAGAACTACAATTCACCTCTTTATCATACTCAATTTGATAGGCAGTTCTCAAAGCAGAAACGGATACAAGGAGTTTGTAAACTTATGATTTCAACATTTACCAAGAACTGCAAATCCTAATAAAGACTAACAATTCTACAATTCATTATGATAACAAAAGGAAACATATTTTTATGATGCACAACAAAGAATTCTATTCCAAAAGCAGTTATGTAATTACGGCAACGTGGGCACATAAATTTAAGGAGCCCAGAAGTAATAATAGTAGTCCAAAACTAACCTGTCCACTGCAAAAGGGTCCAGCTCCAATGCCAATTGTGGGAATTTGAAGAGCAGATGTGGCTGCAGCAGCCACAGGTGCTGGCACACATTCCAAAACAACAGAGAAGCATCCAGCATCCTGCAAAGCCATTGCAGTCTCCACAACCTGCATAAACCAAC